AGTATAACTACAAAGGGACCATGAGGGAGTACTATCAGTACTTCTTCCGACCCCTATCCCTAAACCCTAAACCCTAAACCTAAACCCTAAACCCCAAACCCTAAACCCCCTATAGCAAGCAGATACTGGGTCAGGGGCCTGGCCAGCAGCACACGAGCTTTCATGTTGGCAAGCCTCGGGGGATGCCGGCTTTTTTTCAGATTTTAGGACCCCGAACCCTAAACCCTAAACCCTAACTGAACCCTGAACCCTGAACCCTAAACCATAAACCCTAAATCAGCAGCGGGAATCTCTCCCAAGCCCCGTGTGCGCAAGGCCAGAACCACCCCAACGCACGCTAAAGCGCAAGTGTCAGTGTGACTGTAGAACTCCGCAACCTCAACCCCATGTTCCCTCAAGTATCCTGCAAGTCGCTTGTAAACCATGACCACCTCAACCTCAAGTCTCGGCTTGAGTCTATCCCTGCGGGTTGACAGCTGAAGCGAAATCCGTGGTCCGAATCCTAAAGTGCCGAAGAGCCCTCTGCCGACGAGTTGCCGCTTCACGTCCTCCATGGCTTGACGACGGTTTTGCTGCTGCGCCCGGGCGTCCTTGGAGATTTGGGGGGGCCATTCGGGAACCCTTAAGGAACCCTAAACCCTAAACCCTAAACCCTAAACCCTAAACCCTAAACCCTAAACCCTATTCAGGAACCCTTGAGAAACCCCTTTTGCGGAACTTCAGGCCCGAATCCGGCCTGCTTCTCTCGGCGCTCTTTGTCGCGTTCGGCTTTGGACGTGTGGTTGTGCATGGAACCTGGAGCTTGCAGGGCTTTGGGGTTTGGGGTTTGGGGTTTAGGGTTTAGGGTTAGGGTTTAGGGTTTAGGGTTTAATTAGGGCTTAGGGTTTAGGGTTTAGGGTTTAGGGTTTAGGGTTTAGGGTTTAGGGTATGCGATATGTCCGTTATGTTAACAAAAGCAGGCCGTGGCCTTCTCTGCTAGGCTGCAGCTGAGCAGCCCCGCTACTACCTTCGAAGCCTAAACCCTAAACCCTAAACCCTCAACCCTAAACCCTAAACCCTAAACCCTAGACGAATGCGGGTTAGCCCTGACCCCCCCTGTGCACACAGCGCCCCGCCCACACTGAGGCCGCGGCCCAGGGGTCCTTGCGGTGCAGCTGGGCCTCACTTTCTCATCAGGGGCGGCACGGATTTTCAGGAGGCTTGGAATTTGGAACGCAGGTTCTGAAAAGCCTTCAAGTTCAGGAGCTTTGCTGCCTGGGCAAATGGTGCTTGAAAAACTGAACTCTGTAGGCTTGGCGGACTCCGCTCAGAAGACTGAAGCTATGCGAGGCATCCGTTACAATTACCAATAGTATTCCCTTCTGGTCCCATTATGACTATAACATACTATAATGTAATATACTAGAATATGCTATAATGAAGTATAATTTACAAAAACATAATATATTACAGTATACTCTTTTCCCCAAAAGTCCTATTCTGATCTCGAGAAGTGGTCTGAGATTGTCTAGACTAAGGGTTCCCTTGAGAAGCCCTCATCCAGACCCTAAGCCCGAAGCCCGAAGGTTGGAGGCCCTGAACCCTAAACCCTTTTGCATACCCTAAACCCTAACCCTAAACCCTAAACCCTAAACCGTACTTTCACAAGCCAGTGGATTCTTGAGTTCTAATGCAATTTGGCTATCACGACAGTTTTTTCACTCTTTACTCTGTTGTACAGTTGTGCAGCCTTATTCCCAACAGCACGTACTGTTTGGTTTCACTGGAGCTTCTGACACTCTAATCCAGAAAAGTCCGAGCATGAGAGGCGGAAACATCCGGAATCGTAAAACAAAGCGGATCGGAACAACAAACACTCCGGAAACGTCCGAAAATGAAAGACGGAAAATATCTCTGGAAGTGATGGAGAAAGAAACGAAACGAAAAGAAGACGGGGAACATGTCCGAAAATGAAAGATGGAAACATCCGGCAATGATGGCATATGGTGCGAACCGAGGGCAAATCCCGATATGTCCGAACATGAAGATGGAAAGCGAACCGGGAAGATGAACAAGTCCGGCGATGTCCGAAGAGGAAGGACGGACATGTCCAGAAATGATTCGAGCCTCGCCAAGCACCTTCAGAGCCGACGTCCGCGTAGCCGGAGTCGGCGGGCTGCTGGGGGTGCTCGAACCTGGGAGCTTGAAATGCCAAGGACCAAGGGGTTGCAGGAAGGTTGTTTTTTTTTTTTTTTTCTGTTCCTTCTTCTTGTTTTATAGGAAAAAGTGGCACAGGGACGTTGGTTGGTATTGGGGTATCCTAGCATGAGTCGGGCCGCCTTCGACATGCGAGGACACATGTTCCGCATCTTCCGTAGTCCAAGCAAAGAGGCGGGCGGCTCACGTAGTTTCCGGCTGCGAGGATGAAGGAAGACGCAGACCATGTGAACAGGATCCCAAACGCAATCTGGAGTGCTGTTCAATGAGCGTACATTGCGCTACCATACACAGCACACGATCGGCTGTCTTTGGCTAGGCCCCCTAAGAAAAACAACCTTAACAGTCACGCAGATTTTGCCACGGTCAGCACCTCACCCCTATACTCCCCTTAGAACCTTAATAAAAACAAAATGTTCAATATCCTCTTGGGGTTTATATACACAAAACACTAATTCCCAAGGGGGGATATAGACCCTTGGCCCTAAAGAAGCGGGCGTCCTGAATAAAAAGAGCACAGGAGCCGGCAGCCCGTCCGTCGGCAGCGCCCTGTCCTGCTCATGGGCTTTAGGGTGTTGAGCAGTTCGGGTTTCGGGTTTAGGGTTTCGGCAGCAATGCAGCCCTCGCAGAAAGAAGTCCATGCACCTAAGGACAAGGTCTGCCAAGGAGGCGGTCCGCGGCAACACCCCCCCTGGTCAAGGGCACCTCCCCATGATGCTTTTGTTTCTCTTCTCCATAGGCGCTAGCCGAACAAGCTCTGATCCGAGGCGCATGACTGACCGGCAAGTTCTGTTGCATAAATTTGCTGCTGATTCAGGCGTATCTTTGGGGCATTTCTGCCAAAATGCCACTATGCTGGACGATGCTGTGTCTGCAACAGAACTACCAATCTGCGCTGAATTCAGCCCCTTCCATTGTGCACGATTCCCAGTTCAGTTCACCTAGCATTTGGCGCTTGGAGCTTCAAGGGCAGGGGTTTGTTTTCCAAGGGGTTGCCAGGGCTGCAGCTCCTGTAGCAAAGGCTGGGAAACGTGACCAACGGTAGAGTGAGAGGTCTCCAACAAGCCCTTCCATCCATCACCCCTTGTACTTGGCACACAAAAAGTCGAGATGCGGAGCAACACGCTGTAGACATAGCGTCGAGGATTTAGCAACTTGCTACGCAAAGCCTTACAGGGCTTGCCGGAGTATCTTCCTTTTCTCCGAAGTTCTGCTACGCAAGCTCGATTGCGCAAAAGCGCTTGCTACTCGGGCAATTGTGGAAGCGCGCATTTGGATGGACATGTGGCGCACATAGCGTTAGATGGCCCGCTGCATGATACAAGCTAGTTCTGGCATAGCACAGTGCTAGCGGGGGCTTGCTCCTACAGCACTGCGAGATTTCCACTTAAGCAGCTTGCGTAATGCAAAGGTGCAAAGTGAAGTGGCACTGGCACGCCGCGTGCAGCTGGAAACGCCGGTGCTTTTAGCTTGGATCTGCTTGGTTAATCTGTCTAGGATCGGGTTCTGGGCAACATGCTCTGGAACACGTTGAACCTTGCATTTGGAAAATGCTACAAGTTCCTCACTCCCGACATGCCTTGTGCACACCCACTGAGACTCTCCATACATCGGGAAAGCCCCACTCAGATTGGCATGCAAGGTGCGACTAGTGGCAAGTATGCCTTTGGCAAACTCTCACTAGTACTGCTAGAAGAATGGGTGACACAACCGAAGCCACGCAAGCGGCTAAGGAATTTCGACGCATGACATGATGCCTAACTCTTCTGTTGCACCTCTGCTAACCCTTTGAGAATGAAGTCAGACATGTTGTCTGAGATACTCGGGGTCGCAGAGCCGGGACAGGGCCCGGGGTGCTTGTCCACTATCTGCTGGTTCTGCAACAAAGAATGCCTATGAGAACACCTCGGCATCCAGTAGAGCACCCTTACCCCTTACGCACCTGCCAGTCCCATGTGGCGACACTCTTCAAACAATATGAGTATGTAAGCTTCACCTGTCTGATGTGATGCCCAGTGACCCAGTGCGAAAGCCTCAGAATCTACTTGCCCCGGCTGCCCCGGCCGCTTTTCCCCTCCCGACTCTTGCCAGCGGTGGGGCCTGGAAGGTGAACGTCACAGTAGCGCCGCACTTCCTCCCATTGCCTCAGATCGATGTCGTTCAAGCTGTGCAGTTGCCCCTCGAGTGCTTGGCCGATTTCACACACCAGGGGCGTCATGAGCTCCAGGTCGAGCTTCAGCCGCACACCCGCAAGGGCCTAGCTCATGGTTGGGATATCATTTAAAAGTTTAAATTTGTTATATATTCCTTGTTGGGTTTAAGTACCCTTAAACTCCTTAACAATGTAGAGTCTTACCCAACTATGACAAAGGAGCGATGTTCAAGAGCGCCTGAGTGCCGATCTTCTTGCAGTGGCCCCTCGCTCGGGTGGCCACGTCCTTGGCGAGCTGGCGCACCTCCATGCCGCTCTCGGGGGTGGTGTTCGTCAGCGCGCTGACGATGCCGGCGCAGTCCTGCCATGTGAACTCATCGATCCTCCTTGAGGCCTCCTTGGCGGCCATTCTGCCAAACAACTCGATGTTGTGTCCCTTTTGGCAGAGGCGGTTGAAGGCCCAGCAGCAGTTTGCGATGGCCTGAGGGGGGTATGTTCTGATATTCGCGGAGGCGACCTGGGCAGCGACGTCGAAGAAATGCAAGGCTCCCGTGCCTTAATCCCTGTTCCCCAAGGAAGAAAAAGGCATCCTTTTTGTTCATATATAAGAAAGCCCATAGCCCAAAAAGTAAAAAGGATCCCTAACACTGCTCTAGCTGCCATTCATCACATCCAGCGTGGCCAGCGACCACGCGATGGTTGACACGCCCTGGGGGCTGAAGTCGCAGATGCGCAAGGCAGCTTCAGAAGCTACCGACTCGGCGAAGCTCCAGATGTCCTCGAAGAAGGCATCCTTCGACTTGGAACGGGGCCTGCGCCCAATCAACTTTGCCATGGCCCAGAGGGCCATGGAAAGCTCCTGCGGGAAGAAGAGCTCGAGATTGCCTTGGCTTGCTCTCGTCCGGCATGCGGCGTTTCTGCAGAAGCGCGTCACTGCCTCCTTGTCCAAAGGTGCCCCTGCCCGGGATTCCGACTGGAGCTTGGCGCAAGCCCACAGGCTGTTGGCCAGACCCTGTGGTGACATCTCCCGGAACATCACCTCCTCAATGTACAAGAGGCACTCGTTGCAGAAGGTCTTCACTGCCTTGCCCTTGAGCCCCAGCTTCGCCACAGCCCAAAAGCTGTTGGTGAGGCACTGCGTGCTGAACTGGGCCAGCCGCGTCGTGCCTTGCATCATCACCACATGTGCGAGCTGAACTCCCTCCGGCCCCAGACCACAAGAGCTCTCGCTCAACCTGGCCAGGCCCCAAAGAGTGTTTGAAAGCTCTTGGCACGAGAACTGCTTCATGATTGGTGGGGAGGTTTGTGCGAGCTGGGCGATGATGCCCTGCACGTCGCTGCCTCTGACGCCAAGCTTGCCGAAGGCCCAAATCGTTCGCATGATGGCACGTGAAGTTGTGAGCCCCTGGGCCTTCGACCTGAGCACTGACAGCACGCTCTCAAGGCGTCGGTCATCTAACACATTCTCCAGTCCTCCCATGGCGCCATAGGCATCCTGCTCCGCAAGCTTCGCCATGCGGTGGAGACCGGACACAAGCGATGCCACCTCGCAAGTCCCGGCGAGCTGTGACAATGTGGAGAGTACCTCCCCCACGTCCTTGTGCTGTTCCCACGCCAGTTCTTGTGGTCCCGCGATGTCGCACTCTGTCCCGTTGAGCGAAACTTGTGGGAGAGGTGCTTTCGACTCGGTGGAGCCCTCGAAGCGAATGAGCTCCTGCAGCTTCAGCACCTGCAGCTCCGGCTGCGATCTGTCCTGCCTCGTGTAAGCCACTGGCATCCACGACCAAGTCATGGTAATCTGCGGTTGCAGAACGATGTGCTCAGGCGCAGCGGCATAGCGAAACCTTGGGTCAAGCTGAACCGCAAGCGCCGCAAAGTCTGAAACAGCCATTGCTTGCAAACCACAAAGGCTAGCAGGGAGGCCGGCTTACACGTGCGATCTCCGAAACCCACAGGCTGTGAGCTACAGGGTCCTTTGAGCCATAGCCATGCGGGGTTTCGGCTGAGCTTTCATCATGATTTCAGGGAAGATTCCTTCACATTGAGGGGTCTCATGGCTCTCTCTGCCCTGGCACATGTTTGCAGATCTTTACACTGGAGTGGCGGCGAGATGATGAGCATGAGATCTTCTGGCCCGGCGCGGGACGCACCCGAAGCCTCTAATCTCCGAACCCCACTTCGAGTTTCATGAGCACTCACAAGTACGGTTACCAGCAGGGGCAAGATTTAAAAAAAACAGCTCATAAGTTCCCATGAACCTCCAAGTAAGCCTGGCCTCTGCCACTCGAAGCAGATGTTTTTCTGCTCCTCGACCTTGAGGGCTTGGAGTTCCTCGCGGCAGTCAGACGGAGCTTTGGAGGGTTAAACTATACTGAACTTGGTACCCTTGCAAAAAAATATGTTCAGCTGTTCCTTAGGGACTGTGGTAACCCCTTCTACTAACAGTCCTTGATTGCTTAATAGGGATTTTCGTACCTCCTATTCAGGGCTGCAAGCATAAGGGCAGGCAGGGGTGAAGTACCCCTAAGTTAAGGCGGTTTACGGCTTCGTGTTTTGGGCCTAGATTCATGCGGACTGAAAAAGCCTGCGGAGAGACAAGCCACGTGGAAATGAATTAAGAGTTTAAGGGCTTTGGGTTCAGGGTTCAGGGTTCGGGGTTTTACGGTTTTCGGGGTTTAGGGATGTATTGCCATCCCCTGGAACATTTGTAAGAAAGATATGCTTTGATCTTGGCGAAGCAACATCGCTCTGTGGATTTGAACGCCTCATCACGCTCAGAAGAAAGCAGCTTCTACTTTTGAGGGCGCCCTAAACCCTAAACTCTAAACCCCTTGCGCAGCCAGATTGATTTCATCAAGGTTCGGGAAGTACTTTGCTGGACCCGTGACCATGCCAGTTCGTCGACATATTGACATGCCGGTAGCGTGCTCCTGTGTATGTAAAAAGATAGAGCTTCAATCATCATGTGTACACGCAAAAGGAGACCCAATATACACGCAGCAATGTGTACACGGAACAGTATGTACACTCACCAGTAGCATATAAACCCTCCGTCATATCCCCCCAAGAACCATTAAAATGTGATGCTTGATTTCCCCGGTGTATGCACAAAGTCTCTCTTTGCATGCATACACATATCATCTATGTGTCTATGTAATGATTTCTTTACATCTGCGAACTTACTTTCTGTTTCCTTACTCCCCCTAGAACCTCAATAAAAACAACATGTTTAATATTCCCTTGGCCTGTATATAACTAAACCAACAATTCCTAAGGGAGCTATAGTACACTAGGGGTGTACCATAATAAGGGGTCCCTAAGAAAGTCCCCCAAAGAGTAGGATTTCCCTTATAATGAGATGGACCCCAAGTGACCCGAGAAGGTACCCCTCATCTACTATTTGCTTAAGAGCCCCCACACACACACACACACACACACACACACACACACACACACACACACACACACACGCACACAAAAATAGAAAATGTGTGGATATGTATATACATATATATATATATATACATATTTGATTATGCTTCATCTTCCTTTTTTGAGGGTAATACAGGGATTATCAATACAGGGATTATCATTTTTTATCTTTTTGGGGGTTCTGAAGCAAATAGTAGGAATGTCGTTACCCCCCCCCCCCCCGCCCATATCAGAATCTACTTCTCAAGGAGACGATAAAGGGCCCTAATTCCCTCATAAACCCTAAACCCTAAACCCTGAACCCAGGGTTACCTTGTACTTCAGTGAGCGTCCCCTTCACGGCGCCTCCTCGCGAGCTTTGCGCGCCAGGGCCTGGAGACTGATAGAGGGTTTAGGGTTTAGGGTTTAGGGTTTGGGGTTTAGGGTTTGGGGTTTGGGGTTTAGGGTTTAGGGTTTAGGGTTTAGGGTTTGGGGTTTGGGGTTTGGGGTTGAGGGTGATTGGCTGTCGCTCTGTGGTGTAACTTTAACTGTCTGACATTTGAGATTGGGACCGCCTCTTCCGGAGCCGGATCGGCTCCCTGAACCCTGAACCCTCCTGCTATTTGCTTAAGAACCCCCCCCCCCCCCAAAAAAAAAAAAATCCCTGTATTGCCCTTGTAAGGAAGAATATATTCAATTTTTTGAGGGGTTCCTTAAGCAAATCAGAATCCTTTTGTCGGCTCACTTGTTTCGTTCATAAATTCACTAAATTCATGCACTCACTGCGTTCATTTATAATTTAGTTCATTTTATTCACTTCACCTTATTATATTAATGGGGCGTTCGCAAGCTCACTGTAATAATAAACGAACGAATACATGGAGTGAGTGAATACAGTGAGCGAAGTGAACACACGGGCTAGTATATTTATTGTGTCGCCCGTGTACGCACTAATAGTAATAATGCCGTGCGAATAAGCGAAATAATAATGTGCACGGCGTACTTCGTTCTTACTTCGTTCACATGTTCATTTCGCTCATTCACGAACCGTGCTTACATTACGTTCGTTTCATTCACTAATTCACATATTCTCTTCACTTTCTATTAATAATACGAAGTGAATGGAATGAACGCACAATTATACTATTATTCGTACGGCCCACAATAGTATTATAATTAGGGCCGTTAATAGGATGTTAATATTAATATTACGTAGAGAAAGATTGTTGGTACTAAGAATTTATTACTTTCATCCTCTAGTACACTTTCTCTTTTTCATCTACATTTAATATTTATTGGTATTCTTCTTACCTTTTCCCCAATGCATTTCTTAGGATTTAATGTTATGCCAAGAAGAATCCCATCCTTTCCAGATTCTTTTAATTCCTGGAATTCCCTGTCATCTATTGGATCAGGAATAACTTTCCTATCTTTTGGTTGTTTTACTATTAAGGGGGCTTTTGTAATAATAATATTGTGGCCCCCTTAAAATCCTTTGTTTCACTTCGTTCTCTCCATTATTGTATTTCGCGCGTCTTAAATTCCTTGCAAATACAATAATTGAGTTCACTTCACAGGTCATGATATTAATATTGCCTGGTTGGGACCTCGCGACCATAGAATTAGTGCGTTCACCTATTCCCTCGTGATGGAAGCATTAGGATTAGTATTAGAGGTTAAGTGAAGAGAATGCGTGAACGAAACTTGCAAGTTAACGCGCGAAGTGAGAGAACAAATGAACGAAACGAAGAGAAAACCATTAGAAAGAAGATTCCAAAGTCTGGTTCACTGTGTTCACGGATTATTCGCTCTTGCACGGTCTAGACCTCACTAGAGTTCAAGGTAGTCGCGTGCATGGGGCCGGAGAAGTTTAGAGGGACACCTCAGCGCTTCAAGGCTCTGAAGCCCTACATCAACCCTAAGCCCCAACCCTAAACCCTAAACCCTAAACCCTAAACCCTAAACCCTAAACCCTAAACCCTAAACCCTAAAAAAAGGTAAGTTGATAGGCTCCTCCTGCTTCTCCTCCTCGGCAGCTTCTTTCCCAGTCGTTGCTTTGCGACCGTCCGCCGCCCTCGGTGTTTGTTATAACTGCACTTATGACCCAATTATCTCCATGTTTAGCGCACTTAAGGGGCTTATAAGTGGGTGATAACTACACTGATAACTAGGTTCTAAGTACCCTGAACCCTAAACCCTAACCCTAAACCCTCTCGATCGAAGTGCCTCAAGCTATGGGGCCGAGCCTTCATAGCTCAGCTAGGCACAGCTCCTGCAGCCTCTGTCAATCAAGACTCCGTCCTGCGTTCGAGCTTCGTGATCCTCATGAATTACGGGCCAACTGTGATTCAACTCAACGATGACCCATGATCATGGGTTCCCCTACTACCCCCCCTCTATACTACCCCCCCTCCGGGTCCCCCCGTAATTTAGGCGATTTAGGAATGATTAAGCCTCATTAAGGCTATTTCAGGGGGGAACCTCGGGGGGTTAGTGTAGAGGGGGGTAGTAGGGAAACCCGTGACATTAGCTGCCCAAGCCCAAACTCCGAAAGGGATTCGGGCCTCCGAAACGCTTTGCTCACGACCGTAGGCCCAAACCTCGATCCTCAACTTCCTGAAGCCCCCCCTGAAGCCTAAACCCTCTTGCAACTGGGACTTGGGTTTAGGGTTTAGGGTTAGGGTGTAGGGTTTAGGGTTTGGTCTTTAGGGTTTAGGGGAACCTAAACACTGAACTCTGAACCCAAACCTTGGGCCAGGTCGCTTTGCTTTTCCCTTCGGTGCCGCTTTCGCTTGCGCAGAGCTGCCTGCGATGGGCAGCAGAGAACAATCTGGGCACTTCCCTAAAATTAGGGTCCCTTTTTGGGTTTAGGGTTTAGGGTTTAGGGTTTAGGGTTTAGGGTTTAGGGTTTAGGGGTTTGGGGTCCAGGGTCTCCTAGATAGATATGGCACCGTTGTGAACGGGACCCCAGAAGGGACAACAATATACTACTGTAACAAGATAACCATATAGCAAGATACTACGACAGCAAGATACAACAAAAAAATATGGGAATAATGTAATAAACTAAGTAGCTCAGAAATATAGTAAAAAATCTGGTAAGAATGTAGTAGAATAAGAAGCTTAGAAATATAGTACGAATAAGACAATGAATATCTATAGCTTAATGGCAGGGATGGCCTCTCAAGCCACAATCCACCCCAATGCTGTGCTTCAAGCCCAAGCTAGGTTAGGGGTTTAGGGGCTCAGGCCTCCGAACCTCCAGACCCCCAAGGGCAGAGAGCAGCAGGGAACTTCCAACACGCAGAGGCACACGGAGGAATCAGACTAAGGGCCCCTTCTAGGGGTCTCCTTCCCTTAAAAGTATGTGAGAGGGAACCTAACTTCATAACTGCTAGGCCCCCCCCCCCCCCCCGAATTCAGAGCACCAGGGAACTTAAAAAAACAGAGCAAACAGAATTTTGGAGGGGACCCTATATGCCCTATATAGCTTTGGGTTCTCCTACTCCATAAGCTGCTTACGGTCCCCCCTACGCCATGCGGCCAAGCCTCCCGAGATTGCTTCGAGCCACGTCTCTCGGTAGCCTGACATCTGCTGCCAAGGGCTTCCCTGGGACCACCCCTAAACCCTAAACCCTCTTTTGCTTTTGCTAGGGTTTAGGGCTTTGTCATTTAGGGTTCAGGGGGACCATTTTTTTTTTTTGGGGGGGGGGGGGGGGGGGGGGGCTCCCTTATTCAGGGTCAGAGCATGTTGGGGTTCAAGTGGCGCCCCTACATCCTATCAATGCCATAAGAGTCCTGGCGATGATCTTGACAAGGAGGCCAGGAGGCTCTCAAAAACCGATGCTTCGGGTTGAAGTTTCTTTTTGCCAGGTTTAGGGTTTAGGGTTTAGGGTTTAGGGTTTAGGGTTTAGGGTTTAGGGTTTAGGGTTTAGGGTTTAGGGTTTAGGGTGCCCCCCTTTTTCAGATTTGCCATCGTGACGTGGAGTCGGTCATATACTCGCTCTCAAGCGGGAGCGTCATTTAGAGCCCCATGGACCATCAGCCCATACGCTGGACCCAAACAGCCCATCTTTCATGATCGAAAACGACGATTTGCATGAGACCCCCCAAAAACATACAAGATCATAGTCCCTATATCACCCTAAAAAGGAAGAATGTTTTCTTCTTTTTGAAAGGGGGCGTTCTCTTAAGAAAATAGTATAGATGGGGTGTTGGGCCAAACCCCAAACCCCAAACCCCCAAATCCCCAAACCCCTACACCCCTACACCCTAGGCCCTAAACCCTAAACCCCAAATCCCCAAACCCCCATCCATATGCTGCAGGCGGCCGTCCGGCAGCTTGCGCTCCAGCGGCAGATTGGCACAGAGCTTCAGCAGAGCCACCATGGCCGCCTCCGGGGGCATTTTTTGGGAGGGCTTTTGGTGCTTGTTGAGGGCATTTTGGTGCTTGTTCAGGGCTTTTTGGGGGAACGTTTTGGGGTCTTTTTGGGGTTTGGGGTGTCGGATTTGGGGGCTATTGGGTTTGGGGTTTGGGGTTTAGGGTTTGGGGGCTTTGCAGCTTTGGGGGCTTTGGGGGCTTTGGGGGCTTTGGGGGCTTTGGGGGCTTTGGGGCTTTGGGGGCTTTGGGGGCTTTGGGGGCTTTGGGGGCTTTGGGGGCTTTGGGGGCTTTGGGGCTTTGGGGGCTTTGGGTTTGGGATTTTTGTTGCCACCCGCCGAGCTGATGATAACATTGCACTGCAGGATTTGGGGGTTTGCGGCTTTAGGGGTTTGGGGCTTTTGGGGGGTTTGGGGCTTTGGGGTAGACCAGTAGAGCGTCCTTTGATTCCAAGCGGGATTTATGAGTTCGGTGCCTCATTAGCCCCTCATGTCACCCTTTGAGTGATGAGTGATCCCAAAGGAAGGGGCCGGTAGTAATTTTTCTAGCTTTTTAGCTACGAAGTACGAAGAAGCGGTTTTCAAACCTTGCCGCCATGGAGGGCGTTGGGCGCGGAGATGGTTTTCTAGCGGGCCGCAGGGCCACAGCTGAACTTTGCACATTACGAGACATCCGAGCTCATCTCTATTCAAACCTTCACAGCTTCTGCACCCTCTTCGAGGCAGTCCCTGAGCCCTTTTAGATCCTGAGAGCACTTATCCAGGACCCTGCCTCCTCGCGGGAGGCGTAGGGCGTCTCCGCATCGCGGTTGGGCTCGAACTCCAGGCTTTTCGCTGCGTCCTTGCCAAAGCCCAGAGAGCCCAATAACCAGCAATGGAAGGGACCTTTCTGAGACGGTCATAGGGGCTCATAGCCCGGGAAAGGTTAGCCACGTGAGCGATCCGTGCTGTGGCTTTGCCTTTTCGTAACCTGAATTAGCAGGAATAGACCTGGAACGACTCCCATGTGTTTACCTCCCATCAAGGCCCGGTCCTTTGCGTCTGGCAAGGTGACCTGCGCGGCAGAGGGAGGAGGGGGCCCCCAACGCGCAGAGGGAACTGAAGGATGTAAAGCTTACAGTAGGGAATTCTCGGTTTAGGGCTTAGGGAATTCTCGTTTTAGGGCATAGGGGAGTCTAGAAACCTCAGTGTCCGAAACAACACAGCCTACTCCTATACCCCCAAAAAAGGGAAGAAGGGCCTAATCTGGGTCCTTGTATGATGAACACCCTGCATTTTCTCTTGGTGCTTTGCTTTGCTTTGCTTTGCCCTCAACCCTAAACCCTAAACCCTAAACCCTCAACCCCAAACCCGAATTTGTTCCTGTCATCCTTTTCATCGGCATCTGGTGCCCTGCCGGGCACCTTTGCCGACGTCTGCATACGAACCCTTCGTGAAGCGATCGCGGAAGGTCTCCCTGATTCATCTCACATGCATTGAGATGTTCCTCCTTAAACTAACAGTCCTCAATAGTACCCCCTAAACCCTAAACCCCAAACCCTTACTAATCCCGCTTAAGGACTGTTCGTAAAAGGGGGGAACATCCCGACAAAGGTATACGTGAGAGCTCGACTTGTTGTCCACATGTGTCCGCTGCTCCCCATTGGCCTTCGAGCGGTTTAGGGTTTGGGGTTTAGGGTTTAGGGTTTAGGGTTTAGGGTTTAGGGGTTAGGGTTTAGGGGTTAGGGATTCGTCTGTGGCAGAGCGCACGCAAATGCATACGCAGGAACTGTAACAACGGCACTCAACGAGGCGTAAGTAAGAACTGGCCGCCATCCGAACTTTTTTGGCTTTGATTTTTGTGTCGCACGCACATCTCCAGCCTAAAGATGTGCATCAGCACCGGAGTTTCTAAAACATATCTCTAGGGTCTCCAGCCGAAAGATGTGCATAAGCACCAGTGTTTCTAGCCATATCTCTAGGGTTTAGGGTTTAGGGTTCTCGAGACAGTCGATAACGTCTCGCCTGGGAGATGTTGAAAAGGCCTCTGCCATAGACAAGTAACATGATCGCCAATGATCCAAGTGGCCTGGTGTCCAACAAAAAACCCTTAGTACAACCCCATACAAGCTCCCTAAACCCCAAACCCTAAACCCCAAACCCTAAACCCTAAACCCCTAAACCCCTAAACCCCTAAACCCCTAAACCCCTAAACCCCTAAACCCCTAAACCCCTAAACCCCTAAACACCTAAACCCCTAAACCCCTAAACCCTAAACCCCTAAACCCTAAACCCCTGATGCGCCTTGGACCGGCACTTGCCCCGCTCGAAGGGCCGCACCCCAGAGTACTCGGGCTTGGGACGCTTCTGCCCCTGCGCCCACCTCGGGGTTCGTCTCTTGCTGGTTCTTTAGCAGTAGGGTTTAGGGTTTAGGGTTTAGGGTTTAGGGTTTGGGGTTTGGGGTTTAGGGTTTAGGGTTTAGGGTGAGGGAATGTGGCACCCTATGTAGTCCCCTACAGGGTAGATAGAGGGGGCTGTTTGTAGGCTTCTCGCTTTGTGCGCTTTAGGGTTTCGGGCTTCGGCTCTCACACTCGCATGTGGCAGCCAAGGATTGGGAACATCTCGGTAGGCAGATGATGTCTCGGAAGAAACTAAACTCTCCAAACCGCCGACACATCATGTCAACAGAGCGCTGCTCGGATGGATGCTGAACCCCCAGCTCGGAACTCCCCGAAACCCTCAACACCTGCTTCCTACACTGCCTGTCCCTTTTTCACAGCTGCGGCACTTTGCGAGCACTCTTCACACTGCTCACATGCGGTAGACAGCCTTCAGGGCCTCGCTTCGGCGAAAGGCGCCTCGGAAAAGGCCTGCTGCAGCGGCACAGTCGCCTCTCTCGGCGAGGAGCTGCGCCTCCTGGTACATCTGGAAGGCCTCCTTGTCCTCCGGCGCCGTGCAGATCTCTGGGTCGCGGCGATAGAGGACATCCGTGCGGATGATGTACTTCTCTGCCGCTGGGACACCCTCATGCATCAGGCGATGGTAGAACACCAGCATCCTCCCCGGTTTGGGAGCCACCTCTGCCAGGATGAGATCTGTCTCACCGGTGAGCCGACCGGCATCGTCCTTGCGAAGCTCGCGCTTCATCTGCTCGTCCGCGTAGAGGCGCGTGTGCCCGCCCCATGGGGAAGCATTGAGGAAGAGCACGCAGCTGTAAAAGGTACGTCGGTTGAAGTCCACCACGGTGGTCCCGTCCGTGTGGGGGCTGAAGTGGCCACCATCCAGGTACCGCGACAGCAGCAGCTTCGGGTTCATTGCATACGGATACCATGTGCCCTCGATGTCGACTTCAAAGCGCGGATCTTCTGGGCCAAGCTCCACCGTGGGCTGAACGTGCGAACCCACCCGCCGCCAGATTCGATCTGCCAGGGCCTCCTGGGAGACCTCCACTGTGTGCGCGTTGCGGAAGGCGATGCGCGGCCGCGCTGGGTCCTCCTCCCAGAAGGTCCAGAGGCCCTCAGCCCGGCTCACCAGAGCAGCGCATTCGGCGGCGCTGAGGACATTGTCCAGGACAAAGGCATCACAGCCCGGGACGTTCCACCGCACCACCGGGCCCACAAAACCGAGGTCAAGCTCTGCCGGAAGCTCCTCTGCTGAACTTGGAACCCTAGGAAAAACGATGATTTTAGCTGTTTTCTTGAGGAATACAGAACCCAAAGACTCAAAACATATTCCCAAGAATCCCTACAAGGCTCGAAGATTTCGGCCGAGACTTCCTCCTTGTCAACGACGTTGGAGATTGGCTTCGCTTCAGCCTCGCAAGCCTGCACAATTCCATGGTCGTCCTCGTCGTCCTCGTCGTCCTGCTGGTCCAGAGGACTGTCCGAAGATTGTTCATCTCCGTCATGCCTAGTACTTCCCAGCTGGTAGTTCTCAACCGACACAGAATCCTTCGCCGGCACAGAGCTGATTAGCAGACCCCACACTGGGTCGAGATCCGGATCGGCTTTGGCCATCTCCTCTGCCGCGGCACGGCCATCATGTGAGCCCTCCTCAGCCAGAGAAGCTGCCATGGGACCCTAAACCCAAAACCCTTATGCAGAAGGCTCACAGCTCCCAAAATCTACGAAGATGCACTTGCATGATTCTGTCATAAGGGTGTGATGAAGGCGAATCTTTGCGTCGAACAGCTCGATCTTGAGCCGTAGACATTTGTTGAGGGTTGATGAGGGTTTCATTCTAGGGCTACGGGCAGTTTCCTTTAGGGCTCCGGGCTGGCGGCTTGAGGTTTCTTGAAACGTGCGCTGAGACTTGTGCGGACTGCCACGGTTGCCGCAGCCAAGCAGCTCGTGCAGGAGTTGGGTGGGCATGCGCTGGTAGGACTTGACCACCTCAGGTGAGCAGCAAAAAGTTTCCGGTTCTTCGGGCAAAGGCCCCATTGGGGTTCCTACTGTAGGGAATGGAAAGAAGGAACGGTAAGAACCCCAACAAAAAGGGGCGGTTCTCTCAATCTGACGGCCCGTTGAGCTGTTTTCTGGGCCCTGGGCTTCAACCCCCCTCTTTTTGCATCCGGGACTCTGGGCAGATTGCCGGGGCTCCGACCCCTCACAACCCGAAACCCTAAACCCCCAAAGCCCCAAACCCTCCCGCCGCCATTTCACTTCTGCTGGCCAGCAGCCGTCCCATCCTTCTTCTGCTCCGCCGGCTTGTCCTTCGACCGTCAAACCAGGAGTCCCACTTCCGAACCATGATATGGATAAGGGCACCCTTTTTGGGACGTTATGATAAGGGTACCCTTTTGGGATCTTGTGACAAGGGTACCCTTTTTGGGTTCGGCTACTTTACAAAAGGAACCTTGCACCAACATAAAGGGAGCACAAGATGGCACCACAGGGACTACCCAGCTTCAGGAAGATCCCTCAAACCTAAGGGACATTGGCCGTCTGGCCTTCTTCGGCCGACAGACTCGCCCGGGCGGGGATTGGGGAACCTCCACAACCCATCCCCCTGCTTTACGTCCCGGATCCCCCCTCCCTCTAAACCCTGAATCCCTGCATGATGTTTTACGAAAACAGGGGACCCCCTAACAATAGACCCCAAATTGGCAGCATTCCCTTCATAGTTGGACCCCAATAAGGTACCCCTAATTTTGGAACCCCCCCCCCCCCCCTGCCCATACCGACATGCACGGAAAGCTTCGGCAGGTGCTCGTGTCGTCATAATCACCCCACTTAAAAAAGCACCCGTAGAGCTATCAGCACATAGGGTCTAGATCGATATAACTCCTTGTAACCTTACTTAGGGCAGGTAGAACTCCACTTAGATAGGTACGATCATCTGTTCTAACCTTGTTGAGGATACTTGGAACCCCACCTGTCTATTGCAAAGGCCGGTGACCTCTTTATCTCTTACCCCTGTACCTTAATGTAGCCCCTTGATACCCTAATAAGAAAGCGAATATATGCCAAAAAAACGAAACACTACTTGACGAGACCACCAACCCATGTAAGTAAGCCTAAACCCTAGACCCTAGACCCTAGACCCTAAACCCTAAAGCCTAAACGACCTAATCACTCCTCAACCTCCAAGTGCTTCCAAGGCGGACCTTGTACTCCGTGCCGGCGCCACCCCTCTTCCCCATGGCATGCCCCAAGGAGCAGCACCCCCTGAATTGAGGAACCTCAAGCTGCCCTAAACCCTGATCCCCAAACCTTATAACCCTAAACCCTAAACAACCCAGAACCCTAAAACTTATAAACCACGGGGGGGTTCCTGGTGAACTAAGGAGGGAGGTCTCTTTGCGAAGAATTGCCTGAAGCCCGGGGTGCCGCCTTTGTTGAAGGACAACACGTGTCGCAGTGCGAAGGCTTAGATCTCAACAGGCTGTTTGGGACCCTAAACCCTAAACCCTAAACCCCAAAAACACCAAACCCTTCTGGGTTGGCTAATCACTTGCTGCCAACCGCGGTGGCAGGGTGCCACGAATGGATGGGAGCATACACAACTTGGGCACATGTGCGGCGGCTTCAAGCCGTGTCTCCGTTTGACTTTTTTTGTATATAGTACATAGGATCCTTGATTACACCCCCAAAAGGGACATATGTAATATTCCAACAAAGCCAACCTGGGTACAATACTAGGCAGAACTTGGCCCTAGCAAGGCTTGAGCAAAAGCGGCCATGGACGGCGCACGCCCATCGTGGTGCTGCCAGTATGTAAGGCCCAGGAAACAGGGGTGGAAGCGGCTTCGGGGTGCTGTCACAAGCCACAAGGCTTGCTGTGTTGTTGGCTTGTGGGTTTAGGGTTTAGGGTTTAGGGTGGCTCGGTTCCATTGGAGGCAGTTCAGGGCTCTTGGGGAAAACTTTGAGGGCCCGGCTGTCCCACACTTTTTGGTCGAACGTGTGTCGCTCTCTGTACTGCGGTTCACTGGAAACTGGGCCTAGAGCGCACGCTGTGAGCCTGGCATGGCTTGGCACTGAAGGTTGTAAAGTCTTCAGGGCTTACATATGGGGGTTTCCGAAAGTAGGGGTACCTGATTAGGGTCCTGATTATGAGGGAACCCTAACCCCCATATGACAAGGACTTCGAGTTTAGAGGATGGTTTCAAGGCCGTGCATACCACGCGCCGTAGGCTGCATATCACTCTCAGAAGCCATATAGCGCCGTGACATTCGTCAACTAGCACGTGACCTGCACGGTATCAGGGAGCCACGCAATCCCCTCACACTGCAAACTGCACTGCAACCAGGAAAACCCAGAAAGAAGAGGAGCTTGGAACTCATTTGTCTGTGCGTGCGTGCGTGCGTGTGTGCGTGTGAGAGAGAGAGAGAGATTGTGAGTGTTTTTGGGCTGGGGGAAGGAACGGAGGGGTGGGACCCAAACTGTCAGGATGGTAGAGGCTATTACGGCGAGATTCGTGCACCTTCTTAAACGGCCACATGGACCGCTCTCTACATGTAACGGTACTTTTGTGGGGGCACCTTCCCACCCCAAACATCAGAGACCTTCGAAAAATCCCAGTATCCGAGTATCCCTAAAACCTAAACCCTAAACCTGAGTCCCCCGGCCTCCGGATCAATAAGATTAACAGGGCTCGGCTCCTCGGCATCGAGCCTGCGGCGGCAACCGGAACCCTGAAAACGCTCTTGGGTTTAGGGTTTGGGGTTTAGGGTTTAGGGTTTCAGGGCCTGTTCCAGTCGCACGTGTTTGTTGGCTGCGTTTGTACCCTACACTGTTACAGGGGTTTTTTGAGCCCCTAAACCCTAAACCCTAAACCCCAAACCCTAAACCCTAAACCTCAACCCCGAACCCCGAACCCTAATCCCTAAACCCGAAACAAAAAACCCTAAACCCTAAACCCCAACACAACGTAAATGCCTCTGACTCCTGGAATCCCCTATCTTCTTCCAGAAGCCGAGGGTTGGGCTTTTCTGGGGCCTGGTGGCTTCCTGCGGCTTTGCCTTGACAAGCCTTTTGAATGAGGGACCGTTTAGGGTTTAGGGTTTTTTTTGCCACCCGCCTAGCAGACCCCCTCTGGGATCACTCCGCAGGGAACAATCGAAATCTCTCGTATGTGTCTTCAGGTTTAGGGTTTAGGGTTTAGGGTTTAGGGTTTAGGGTTTAGGGTTTACGGCAAGCTGCTATGACCGCCACGACAACTGCCCACAACATCTCCCGAGAACCGAATGGCCTTAAGAACCCAGAACCTACAGTAGGTTGCCTAGAATCTTAAAAGGGGGGTGTTGAGAGCAACATGAGCAACAACCTACAACAACAGGTAGGTTATGGGTATTTTTAGAAGCTATAGAAAACCCTGAACCCTAAACCCTGAACCCTAAACCCATTTGCAGCCTCAATGGGCCTATCTTCGACTGCTACAGTCAGCCAGGGAGCAAGGACTGGGCCGCCGAGAAGCAGGCCTCAATCAGGGTTTAGGTTTTCAGGGTTCAGGGTTCAGGGTTCAGGGTTTTGGGTTTCGGGTTTAGGGTCAGGGTTTCGGGATTTGAGGATGCAGACTGCTCAGGGCTTTTTAAGGGTTTCAGGGCTCAGGGGTTAAGGGTTTAGGGTTAGGTTTTAAGGGTTTACAAGTTTTACAGGATCAAGAACCCGGGATTTGAACTTTCGGGTTTAAAGGGCTCAGGGTGTTTAAAACTGTATCAAGGGTGAAGACTCGTGCCCCTATTTTTTCAGGGGCATCTTTGAAAAGTGTGCCCAAAACCCAAGGGTACCACCTTCGGGGTCCGAGGCAGAGTCCCTTGAGTTTAAGGGCTCAGGGTTGAAGGATTTGGGTTCTAAGGCTTCTAAGAGCTATTTGGGGGGTTTAGGGTTTAGGGCTTGAGGGCTAAACCCGCCTCCTGGTGCAGCTGGTCTTCCCGCTCCTCTGCCAGCGCCTCCGCCGACTCCAGGGGCGCCGCAGGCACCACCTCGAGAGACTCTGGGAAGGCCAAGACAGGGGCGATGCAAAGGGAAACCCTTTTAAACCCTAAACCCTAAACCCTAAACCCTAAACCCTAAGCCCTAAGCCCTAAGCCCTAAGCCCTAAGCCCTAAACCCTAAACCCTAAACCCGAACTTTCTGCCTTCAATGTCCAAGACTGTTTCAAGGCTTTTTGGGGCTCCGAGCTCCCGAGGCGAGAAGTGGCTTAATGTTAACGTCGCTTTAATAACCCCCCCCCCCCCCCCAAAAAAAGAAAACTTGTTTTGGTCCCCGGGGTTTGGAGGGGTCGAAAAAACCGAGTGGGTGCCAATAATGCGGATTCTGGGGGTCTTGGGGGGGGTTAGCTGTCAGGGTCTGCTGTGCTTGGTCTCGAAGGGTTCTGCTTGCTCTCGGAGCTCGAAAAGTCTTCTCTGCAAGTAAAATTTCTGATTCCTGGCCGGCCAAATATTACTGTTGTCACCCCATTATTATTTTCACCGGACCCCCCTTTCTAGACTTGTTTACACACATCGGCCCGAAAACCTCCCGTAATGGAAAGTAGTCTTCGGCTAAGCCCCTCTGGCCCGGCGAATATTACAGTTGCCACCCCATTTATAGATGTGAGGTTAACATTACAGCCCCGGGACAACCGGCATGGAATGACAGGATGGACCATCCCAACCCCTCCTCCCCCTCCCCATAAGTTAGGGTTTAGGGTTTAGGGTTTAGGGTTTAGGGTTTAGGGTTTAGGGTTTAGGGTTTAGGGTTTAGGGTTTAGGGTTTAGGGTTTAGGGTTTAGGGTTTAGGGTTTAGGGTTTAGGGTTTAGCCTGATAACCCCTTCAAAGACTGGACCTGCGCCCTTTTCCCAAAACAGCCCAAGTCCTAGAGAAGGCCCGCCAGGGTACGGGAGGCACATAGGTGCCGTTGGAGGGATGCCTCAGTCTACGGCATTGGATTTCGTGGCTTTTCAGCGCTTTCATCTGGCTTTTCGGCGGTTTAGGGTCTGGGGTTTAGGGTTTTAGCGTTCAGGGTTTAGGGTTTTAGGGTTCTAGGGTTTCAGAGTTTTAGGGTTTTAGGGTTTCGGGGTTTTAGGGCTTTAGGGTTTTAGGGTTTTAGGGTTCAGGGATGTTGAGGTCAAGACTCTGATGATGGTATTGGTTTGCAGAAGTGGTACACTGGGGAGGGTGATCCCCGAAAAGCATCCCAGAACCCCAAAGTCTAGAACTCTAAACCATAGGACCCTAGCTAAGTTCTCTCAACCCTTTCTTTCCATCTGGCCTGCCGCGATTAGCCAGAAAGTGAAGAGCGAGGCTTAGGGACTCCGGGATATTCGGCGGCTAGACCTGATTCAAGGACCTCGGATGGCCCCCTTAAAAACCCGCTGAAACATATTCCGGAACATGTTAGGGTTGAGGGTTAGTTTAGGGTTTAGGGTTTAGGGTTTAGGGTTTAGGGTTTAGGGTTTAGGGTTTAGGGTTTAGGGTTTAGGGTTTAGGGGTTAGGGTTTAGGGGTTAAGGTTTAGGTCTTCTGAAACACAATAAAAGGAAACTATAAAACGTCCCCAAGGCCTACCTAGCCACCCGAAACCCGAAACCACAAACCCCTGAAGGGCAGGGCGGCTGATCGTTCACGTGCTCTTGCCCCAAACCACCTCAAGATGTACCCTAAACCCTAAACCCTAAACCCTAAACCCTAACCCCAAACCCTAAACCCTAAACCCTAAACCAGAGCTCTGAAGGCCAAGCGTCTCCTCCTCAATTGGCTCCTCCTCCTCTTCGTAGACCTCCTCCACTCACCGTGGGGTGCTCTTGTGTGCTCTCATTTGGGACAGGTAGGTTTAGGGTTTAGGGCTTAGGGTTTAGGATTTCGGGTTTAGGGTTTCGGGCTTAGGGTTTGGGAGCGAAGTCGGTTTTTCAGACAGCTCTAATAGCACCTTGCAGAGGGCAGAAAGCCCCTAAGCCCCTAAGCCCTCCCCCGTAACCTCCCTAACCAGCGCAATCGCGCGCGTCCTCGCCCTCCTCCACATCGGCCGAGGCCTCAGTGATACCTTGGGGACGAAATGACCCCTAAATGGGCTTATGGTTCATATACCTTAATAGGAAGTATAGTAGCACAGGGTATAATGACCCCCAAATTTGCCAAGGTACCCATGCCTTCCAAGCCGATGCCCGAGACGCGGCGCGAGTGGCTCTCGAAGAGACCTGCCAGGGTTCCCAGAAAAGTTGCCCAGGGGGGAGGGAGGGGGGATTTAGGGTTTAGGGATTAGGGTTTAGGGTGACCCCTAATTACATAATGATCTGTGCAGTATGAGCCACGAGCCATCTGACAAGGCAAGCCAGCCCCTGTGTCACTCCCTTCGAGGGCCTTTGACGCCACTGTAGATAGCGCCAGCACCTGTGAAGATGCCTCCCACCGCACCGCCGAGGACGTCCCCAAAGGTGACATCCTGCGCACATGGCGTTTGATCCCTAAACCCTAAACCTTAAACCCCATGAACGCTTCTTGGTTCCTTCAGACACAAGAGGGCCCCATGGCTGAGATCAAGCCCCACATCTGCCACAGGCACTGCTCTGAAGCCTCCGGAAAACCTAAACCCCTGGAAGAAGACGTCTTCTATCTTAGAAGCAGATGCACATGTCTGGGCGCTCCTAGGCTCAACTTCGAAATCGCTCAACCACCACGCCACCTATAAGTAGCCACGGCCCTGGCTTCTGTCACCATCCTTGGCGACGTTCACGGAGCCGTCAGGGAGCTTGCTGTCCTGAGACAAAGAGGGTTTAGGGTTTAGGGTTTAGGTCTTCTAAAACTGTAAAATAGGCTCCCCGGCATGCCGACCGCGGGCGACGGGCAGTTCTCTAACACAAATGGGGCATCATTAATTCTAGTATGGTAACCGACCATTTAATCCGCCAGCAGCCCACCCCCGAAATTTCCGTTCGTATTTGGCACTCGCAGACCACCTCATGGCAGGAAAACCATTTCCGGAAGTTGAGGTAAACGCTTCAAAAGAGCTCACTCCCGGAGATGCGATAGGTAGCCCTAGGTAGCCCGCATACAATATTCTCTTCTCTTCAAGCGGTTCAAATGTCTAAGAAATATTCAACATACCCCTTGAGCATACCCGTCAAGGTTTGGTAAGGATCCTTCCTTATATTCACCCTTTTATAGGCTAAGGGGTATGGGTTTGGGGTATGTTGAATCATTCAAAATGGGTAAGCTCCATGCTTGGGGTTTCGGGTCCTCTGGCGGCTCGTAGTTTCCGAAGCCCACAATGCGCTGGGACAGTAGCCGGTACCTGGGTGTTGGAGATTCAGGGGTTTAAGGCTTTCCCTACACCCTACACCCTACACCGCCCTAACCCTAAACCCTAAACCCTGGTTGTCAGGTTCAGGCTTGCTTAGGGCTGTCTGGGGTAGGGCTTCTTGTGTGTACGGCTGACATTACTTCTCCAATGGCCAAGGAACAAAAAGGTGAATGCTGACTACACCAACAGAATAAGGTCAAAAAGGAAATCCGACAAAGTTAAGTTCAGCTATTGGCTAAGTAATTGACATGCACAGCTGAACTCCCGAAATCCCTCGAAACCCTCCCACCAAAAAGCCAATAAAGCCACCTCAGAACCCCATATAGAAATCCTACCTCGAGACGTTCCCCCTTCTACTAACAGAACGGGCAACATCCCAAATCCCTTCAAAAACAGACCATAAACCCTAAACCCTAAACCCTAAACCCTGAACCCTGAACCCTAAACCCTAAACCCTAAACCCTAAACCCTAAACCCTAAACCCTAAAACCTAAACCCTAAACCCTAAACCCTAAACCCTAAACCCTAAACCCTAAACCCTAAACCCTAAACCCTAAACCCTAAACCCTAAACCCAAGCTACTCTTCGTGGTAGAACTCGTTGCCGGACAGCGCCTCCAGCGCGCCGTCGGCCGCCTCGCGGACAAGGCGGTAGGGCTCGTCGCCGAACCTGCGCTGAGAGACCCCGGAAAGTGGGGTATGTAGGCAGGGGCGACTCCTTTCAGCTGCATATGTTATATACACGTGTGTGTGTGGGAATGTAAGGAGTATATCTACACATATTGCAAATAAATGAAAAATATAATGTGTATATATATATATATAAGTGTCTCTGTGTATATACACACACATATATACACATATGTATCTATGTATACATGTGTTAACAGATAGATTGGGTGTTTCCGAGAATAGGGTTTAAGGGGTTTAGCAACACCGCACTTCTTGCACTTGGAATCCTGGTTGCAAACTGCAGTTTTTGGCGCTGCCCCTGACAAGGAATCTTGGGCCTAAGGCCTATTAAGTTTCATGTTTGCTGGGGTGGGGGTTTCATCTTAGGGTAGTTACATGTTTCCTCCCTTCCTTATGTTTCCCTTATTTACCCTCTACAAACCGAGGGGCCCACACACCAGAACCCGCTGCAGAGCTTCGCAAGGCTAAGTGCCACCCGAGGTACATGGGAGATGGGGGCCCTGTGAAGACCGAAGCGTCTTGCACGCACCTCAGGTGCTCCTGGCTGATGTTGTCAGAGTGTATTCTTATATTCTTGCACTAGATTTTTTAAGTATATGAAGTGTATGAACTATATCAGCTTAAAGCACTATAGTAGAACAGTATCATCGCATTTGCGTATGGTAGCACTTTCGTTCTATCGTATTGTGGTACTCTACCATTATATTGCAGTATCAGGGTATCATGGTTCTATAGCATTCTTAGCACTATAGCAGGGTAGTGGTATAGCATTTTCGCATGATCCTACTAGACTATTCTGGTATCATAGTACGAATGTATCCTAGTATCATATCTTGTAGTATGGAAGTAATTACAGTCTTATATAGTTTGTTGGAGGAGCCCGGGATCACTCAAATGAATTGGGAAGGAAAGCACTCGGAGCACACAGTACTTTTAACGTATTGTCCTCTTAGCACTTTTACCGTTCTTGTAAGGGCCCCCGCCCCCCCCAATTGTAGCCCCCCTTTGTCTGTAGTTACAAGTCACAACTATACTTGGGTTCCAGTCTACGCTGCCACAGTTCTTTAGACGCCCTGCCACAATGATACCCTAAACCCTAAATCCTAAATTCCAAGCCCTAAACCCCAACCCCTTTTGAACCCTATCCCTAAACCGCATCGCATGTGTCGCAAACCAGCGGCATGGTTCGGCGCTGTCCAACACCCCGACAGTCCTGCATGGCCTGCTGAAACGGGGGGATGCGGTAGGCCAGCGTCTTGATGACGAAGAGCGCCTCACAGCCCTAGGCCTAGAACCCCAAACCCGTTTAGGCACGGACTGAGGAAACCCTAAGCCCTAAATGCAAGCACCGGTGTCGAGGGCTGGGGTGTGGAGCAGAAACACGACACGTTTGAGCACCCAAAGTCTTTTCTCCGATACCTCCGTCATCTCTGGGTCTACTGTAGTCCTCTCTTTCTGCCGGTCTAAAAACGATCGCCGCGCATTGCCGCTCTACCAATGCTCTTTGTGCAGCGTTTGTTCGCCTGGCTACATGGCGCTGCAACGAACAGTCCCTAAGAGGGACTATCATAGGGGGGGGGGGGTACTATAATCCCTTTCAAGGACTGTTAGTATAAGGGGAACATCCCAAGTGAGCACAATACCCCCTGAATCAAGGAGAGTCTACCTTCACATGACGATCACTAGGGGGTTTCGGAAATTACGGGTTCCTTCTGAACCTTATCCTACTATTGGGGGTTCATAGAAAGGCTTTGTAAGGTCCAATGTTTTCGTAAACCCCATATGGCATGTTCTAGACACAAGAGGAACTTAGGAATAAGAAGGGTGCCCTTTTTGGCTTAAAGGGGTGTATAAGGGAACCCAAACCCAAAACAAAGGAAATAAGGGCCTACTCTGGGTCCTAGTATTCTTAATCTCGGGGCAGTCTCAAAGTCCCTGGTTACACAAAACGGGGGCTGTTGGACGAGCAGATGCGGGCCAGGATCCAGGCTTAGAGTTTAGGGTTCAGGGCTCAAGGCTTCCTTAAACCCTAAACCCTAAACCCTAAACCCTAAACCCTAAACCCTTAGCGGGTGTAGGAGTTTTGGGGGGCCTTGAGCTTGACGTGGGCGTGGTCGCCCTCCACGCAGTCCGCCAGGTACTCTGCCACCGCCGGCAGATCAGAGGGCATCGCCTGGGAGACCTGGCAAAGAAGACGTTGTTGTAAACACTCTGTGAGGATTTAGGGACGAGGGGTTTGGGAGTTTGAACAAGTTATATATTAGCTATGTATAGAGAGAGAGGGAGAGAGAAAGACATGTACTTAGCTCGTATAGAGTCATATACATGTGTAGATGTATGTATGTAGAACACTTCTTTACATGATATGTAATGTCGGGCTCTGTGGGCTCTTCTCCTCCGAAGTGCTTCTGGGTGGAGAACCTTGTGGAGTTGATAAGGTGTGTGTGCTCGCCAGCTGTCTTCCACTGTTTTCGCCCAGGACCCCGAGAGTTGGATGCAAGCTTTGAGGGTTACTATAGTATATATATATATATATGTATAAAAGGACCATAAGGGAATACGAAAGGTAATTACTCCGACCCCTATAGTATGTCAGGCCGTAACGCAGCTGAGCGACATTCTGCACGATGTCGTTGAAGAGGTACCCAGGCGTGGGGGTGTTGTCCCTGTTCGTAGCTCTGTAGATGTCGCCCCACTCTATGGCAGCCTCAGACATCTACAATTATGTGGGAGCTCAGAGTCTCTAAAGCTCAAGAACCATCCTTTAACATGTGGGTCAGTTGGGCCAGCGCAGATCACAGAATTGCTTGGCAGGGGCGTGGAAGAGCTACATGCCACACACACCACAGACCACCTGCTGAAACGGGCCGGCCTTGGCGCCCTCACTACCCTGCAAAGGTTTAGGGTTAGGGTTTTGGGGGACGAAAAACTCTAAAGTCATCCGCCGCCACATGCAAGATGGAGCCTCCCCCACCAAATACCTGATAGCCTTGGTTGGCCGTCCTGAACCCAGATAGCATTCCCGGAGCCCTGGAACCCTCACAACCTCTGAGCACCAACTCCTCCCTCAACCTCGGCTCAGGTCGCAGCCATGCGCGTGAGCCTTATCTGTGGCAAATGCGGGGTGGGTGGGCGGGGCGGCAGAAGGGGTGTTGAGCAAGGTGTGCCTGTCCACACTATCACTGCGGTTGAGGGTTTAGGTTGGGATGTTCCCCCCTATGCTATCTGTTATAATCCCTATTGATGAGCTGTTAGTAGAAAGGAAGAACATCCCAAGGCTTAGGGTGTAGGTCTAGGTGGCGCAGCCCGAAACTTCAACTCTCGTTGAACAAGTGTGCAGAAGCCCGAGGCGGGGATGTTCCACGGAGCTGTGGGGGGGGGGGGGGGGGATTCTAGGTAGACCCTCTGAAGACCCCCCGAAACCTAACCCTAAACCCTAAACCCTAAACCCTAAACCCCTAAACCCTATAAACCCTCAACCCTGGATGTGCCCCTCTTAATTCAACCCCAATAAGAGGGGCCAGGATCGGACTCGGGAGCTGCTCACGAAAACTTCGGGACAGACCCAAGCAACCTTGAGAATCTTATATGCGAAACCCAACACCAAAAGAACCACAAACCCAAAAACCAAACAAAACCCAAAACCCTGCTTTTTGTAAATTGTAGTGCCATTTCTTGGGGGGGGAAGCTTGAAAGTCATTGGGTACTGCTGCAGAAGAAGAAGCTGATGCAAGAAGCCGGTGGATGGGTGCCCCCGCAGTGAAGGCGCATGGGTAGCATACCCCAACAGAGGGGCACTTGAAAGTAGGGTTTCGGGTTTCGGGTTGAGGGTTTACGGTTTAGTGCTGGGTTTGGGGTGGTGCTGGTCTTGATAGGCTCCTTGAAACATCGGCCCACTATAGAGGGAAGTCAGTTGCTGAGGGGCTTGAGGGGGGCTAAGAAGGCTCCCCCCGTCTGAGGCTTGGGTGCTTTGGGCTTCACACCTTTCGGCTGCTCGGGCCACTTTCGAATTCTAGCGCTAGCTCTAAGCTTCGACTGCCAGGATGTCTGCCGGTCCTAAATTCCGTCAACTTGCAGTCCGCACTAAGAGAGAGCGGAAGCTGGAGCCAACGGCAGGTGCGAGGTCTGACCAGTTCGTTCAGACGGAGCCTGCCCTCCCTCGTTCCCTCCCTCCGCCTCTCCCCCTCCTTTCTGTCCCTCTCTCTCACTCTGTCCCTCTCTCTCACTCTCCCATTTGGGGGTGGCGTTTTGGGTCTTTATAGAGGGGACCCTATTTTGGGAAATAAGCATCTGACCTCGCTCTGCAAAGCAACAATGTACGCCCCAAGCGCCCAAAACCTACCGCAGGTTCGTGGGTGTTTCAAACTGCAAGCCAGGGCCTCGTCCCCTTCGCCGTCGCTCTCTAGCTTTTGGCTTTGGGGTTTCGCCTCTCACGCTCGGGCGCAAGCCGGGCAAGAATTCCGGATTTTGGGGGCCTAGGGCTTCTGGGTAGTTAACCTGGCAGAAAAGATCAAGGTGCGCTTCACCCGAATTCCTTTGTCCGCACGCGGCTCTCAAAGTGCCTCCTACTGATGCTCCAAACTCTCCTATCAACCTCAGTATCCTTGACTCTAAACCCTAAACCCTAAGGCATATCGTTTCTGAGGGCTATAGGGTGCAGGCAGAGCTTGTGCTGTAAGAAGCGTTGCCTACCACCTACTCGAGCCTCACAGAATCAAGCTCCAAACCCTCTCCGGGCGCTTTCGCCGCCTCGGCTCACTGAAGTTGTAGGCCCACCTGGCTTTAGAGAGTCTCCCCCGCCCCCCTTCCCCCAGGCCGCCCCCAATGTGTCTCGTTCAGGGCTTTGCAGATCTTTGTCTTGCGAAATCGGGAGGGAATTGACAAAGAGCAGCTGCTGCTCAGAACAAAAGTGCCGATTTTTGGGGGGAACTTCCGGACGTTTTAGGCTCGGCCGGTTCGGCACAGTGGTTTACTGTAATTTGGAGATACTGATACAGTAATAACTGCATGGTGGTCTCTAACAATACCCTTTTCTTCCTCACATGTTTCTGCAAACAGCTTCCTCTGAAGATCTGTGCCCGCTCAGTGAGTATGGCTCTTTCTACCTTTACCTAATATTAGTTTATGTAAAAAATCAATAAATATGTATATATATATATATATATCTAAAAATATGTATATATATATATATATATAATATCTGCAGACATGTGATATGCATGTGTATAGGATGTATGCATTTGATACTCGAAAGGGGTCCCAAAGGGTGCAACCTTATAGGGATGACCCCCTCGGGCGCAGGTTCGGTCCACCTCCACGCCGCGCAGGCGCATGAACCTACGAGGCTTCGGCGGTTTAGGGTTTAGGGTTTAGGGTTGAGGGTTTAAGGTTTAGGGTTTAGGGTTTAGGGTTTAGGATTTGCGGTTTGGGGTTTAAGTAGAGGTGGTAGGGGGTGCAGTTTCGGGGGGTTCGGGGGTTTAGGCAAGGTTCACCGGGGGTTTTCCGCGTTTGAGAGTTTGGCGGGGTCCTAAACCCAAACCCTAAACCCAAACCCTCACCCTAAGAAAACCCCAATCATGCCTGGAGCCCTACCGAAGTAGATTCCTTTGGCTGTGGCCAGGAAGCTGCAGCAACTTCTCCTCGTTGCTGGCGAGGTTCCGCTCGATCCTTCCTCAGGCCACCAGGGGCATAAGACATACGTTGCGATGTTCTTTCTAATACTAACAATCCTTAGTGGGGATTGTAGTACCCCTAGTAAAATCCCTATCAAGGACCGTTAGGATAGCGGGGAACATCCCAAGACATAAGATTTGTCTGCAGCTGGCATTGGCTTTCAATGAATCAAAGCAGAGCACATGGCAGTGGCTTTGTGACAAAAGTGTTCTTGTGGTGCCGACGCTCGCGCTCAGACAATCCAGGGAGTTCGTGTGCTAGCGCGTTTCACATAGCGAACATATTTCGACGCGCGCGGGCCGCATGCAAGATCTACTGCGACTTCTTAAGCTCGATGCACACGGCGACTGAGTTGCAGGTTCTCAGCACCCTAAACCCTAAACCCTAAACCCTAAACTCCCCAAGTACAGCGGATCAAGGCCCAGCGGCGGACCACTCGCACCTCAGCGCCACGACCGGAGGCTTCAAACACTCGCTGCTACGATGCCCTTCCGACGCGAGCGCAGGGTTTTTTAACACCCCAAACCCTAAACACCCTTCTTTGAAACCTAAGCCCTAAACCCTAAACACCCTAATTAAACCCTGAACCCCTAAACCCTAAACTCCAAAAACTTTTTTTTGTTGCATCCGGGCTTGGGGAGTCGGCCGGGAATGCTCACAGAAATCGTGGTGACTTGCAGATAATTGGAGAAACCCTTAACCCTAAACCCCTAAACTCCAAAAACCCTAAACCCTAAACCACAAACCCTAAACCCTAAACCCCAAACCCTAACCCCTAAACCCTTCCGCAAGGGCGCCTGCAGGCCATCCCTCAGTCGGCTCCGCGCAGTCTTCGGCACGAGTACGGCCGGAACCGCCGGTGGTGGACGATGCGGGTCCTGCTGCCGAAAGGGCTTGGGTTTAGGGTTTAGGGGTTTAGGGGTTTAGGGGTTTAGGGGTTTAGGGGTTTAGGGGTTTAGGGGTTTAGGGGTTTAGGGGTTTAGGGGTTTAGGGTTTAGGGGTTTAGGGGTTTAGGGGTTTAGGGGTTTAGGGGTTTAGGGGTTTAGGGGTTAGGGTTCAGGGTGGGTGTCTGCAGCACCATCTCCGAAGAGCGAATATCAGGCGCCAACGTGAAACAGGACACTGCGCCGCAAGCCCAGGACCACCACGCAAAACCCCAGCACCCCAAAACCCCAGAACCACAAGACCCGAACCAACACAAAACCCCAACCCCAACCCGGGTTTAGGGCTTAGGGCTAAGGGTTTAGGAGTTTGTTGAGAAGGTTTCGGGTCTACGGTTGGTTGGTCTAATATGCCACATGGTTTTGGGGCTGAAGGAAAGTGCTTCACTGGAGGCTCATGGGAACTAGGGCGATTGCTGTGAAAACAGGTTTATAACCTTATTTTGGGAGATTTTGACGCACCATCTACAAATGGACCTCCATGTACAGGGCCGCCTAGGGGCTGACAGGGTGTTTTTTTCGCCACCCGGGCTTATAGGGCTTAGGGTGGCTACTTCGGGTCCACTACACTGATCTCTATGCCACGTCCGGTTCGAAGCGAAATGAAAGAAGAGAGAAGCTCCTGTTCCAACTTTCGCCAGAAAGAGTTATTTGAACAACTTCTACACCTTAAACCTGAAAAAACCTCAACCCTAAACCTTGTAAACCCCAAACCCTTTTTACATCCAGGCCTCTGAAGTCTGCCCTAAACCCTAAACCCTAAACCCCAAACCCTAAACACCAAAACCCTCAGCCCAAATCGCATGCCGGGAGCACGTCGAGGGTCATCTCGAAGTCGGTCTCCCACTCGTCCTCGTGCTTGGGAATTTTAGGGTTTGGGTTTAGGGCTTAGGGCTTAGAGCTTAGGGCTTAGGGTTTAGGGTTTAGGGTTTAGGGTTTAGGGTTTAGGGGTTAGGGCTTAGGGTTTAGGGTTTAGGGCTTAGGGCTTAGCGTTTACGATTTAGGGTTTAAAGTTTCGGGTTTAGGGTTTAGAATTTGGCTTTGAGCCGAAAACTCCTGGTCTCTTCATGGTGGGGTGTATAGGGTTGGGGTTCTATGGTTAAAGGGTCTAGGCTTTCGAGCCATCTAGCGGCTCTCACAGATTCCAGACCCATTCTTAGCCAGCCCAAAAATCCCAAATATTCCCGCATCAACTGGGACCTTTTTCAAAGAAAACATCCCTAAACCCTAAAACCGCAAACACACACCTGGCCTCGTTGTCGATGATGACGATGCCCACCGCGCCCGAGTCCTCCGCGCGGCGCGCCAGGGTCCTCGGGCTTAGGAACGACTCCGATGGTGAGTTCTCTGAATCAGGGTTCCTTTTGGGGTACCCTACATGTGAGGGCCCGCCACGTAATAGTAACCCCAAAAGGCACAACATATTTAGAGAAGTGACCCTCTGCTTCTTTGCCACCCGTCTAGATGACAACGTTCCCTGGATTTTGGGGGTTTTTCGACTCTAACAACAGGGGTTTGGGGAGGTAGCGGCTTCGCCTTTGCAAGGATGCAAGCTCGCACTGCCCAGCGAAAAACCACTAGACATCTGGGACTTAGAGGCTGCGACTTGCAGGCGAAAACTCTGAAGCTTCACGTTCAAAGCCTCAAGAAGAAAACCGAGCAGATCTCGAAGGCAGCATACACTAGCGCTCGGTAGACTCTTCCCGACCGCAATCCAAGCAGAATTGCAGCAGCATATGGGCACATTCCAGCCAAGCAGTTCTTACGCTCTTACACGCCCCTTGCAGCAGTCGCTAGGTAGACCCGCCTTTTAACCTAGGACTGCTGAGGCTAGACCCTAAACCCTAAACCCTAAACCCTAAACCCTAAACCTCAGATCCGAGGATCTCAAACTCGACCTCCCCGCGCACGGCAACGACGACCTTGCCTTGGGCCTCAGGTCCTGGGCTCGGAATCGAACCCCCTTTGAGGCCGGTAATTCAGGGTTTGGGGCTTGGGGATGTGTAGGGTTTGGGCTTTTGTTCAGGTTTTAGGGCTTGGGGATGTTTAGGGTGTAGGGTTATTTAGGGTTTAGGACTTGGGGATGTGTAGGGTTTCGGGTTATTTAGGGTTTAGGGCTTGGGGATCCTTACTCTTATTCGCCTGAAAAACCCATAAATACCGCCTGTCAGCGTCCCTCCTTTCGTCCCTTGCGCAAACCTCATGCAAACCTTAAACCCTAAAACTCCTTGAACCCTGGCAGTCCGAGAAACCCCAGGAGTGGAGGCCGTACTCGTTCCTCCTTAGGCTTTTTGGGTTTACGGTTTGGGATGGGTTTGGGGTTTAGGGGTTCTCATGATTGGAATTGGCGCCGTGGGGGACCGGAACGCAGAGCCGCTTCTCCCTAAACCCTAAAAGCCCTACAAACCCTACAAACCCTACAAACCCTATAAAACCCTATGAAACCCTATGAAACCCGATAAAACCCTACAAAACCCCCCCAACAAAAACCCCAAAAAACTTACACCCGAAGAGGCCGGGCGTCTGGCTGTAGTGGGCGGGCGCCTCGCAGAGCACGCCCACTTCGGACTTGCACCGCAGCCTCAGCAGCCGCTCCGACCAGTCGGCTGCCACGCAGCCAAGGGGCTCCTCTGGTCACTATATCAACCCCATCAACCCTATGATTCAACCTTACAAACCCTGTAAACCCTATAAACCCTACAAACCCTATAGACCCTAGAAAACCTATGAACCCTATAGATCCTATAAACCCTATGAACCCTTTAGATCCTATAAACCCCATGAACCCTATCCTGGCCATTGACCTCCAGGAAGTCAGCAGTGCCCACCGCCACGACCGTGGGCGCGTGATCGGCGGTGGCCTCCTCGAAGCCCATGGCGGAGGAGCTCCGCTGCGCCCTAAGTGGGCCCCCACCCCCCTTTTTGGACACGTGTCGACACCTGCTTTTGAGCCAGCTCTTCCAGGCACCCACATACATCTAGGTGATTTCGGCTTCTTACTCTATGGGTTAGGATTAAAAGGTTTAGGGTTTAGGGCTTATTTGGTGTAGCTGATGCAGAGGCTCTCTGGCTGGAGGCTGACTTCTTTTTCTCTCACTTTCCTCTTCGCCCAATGGTCCAAAGCCTCGCCTCTGGCAGCGGCGCTCACACCTTCCACCCCGCGGAGCCTCACACGCGCAGGGAGGGGCCCGGGAAGCTTTTCTGGGAGCCTTTGGACTCAGGCCATTTTGCAAGTGCCCTCCCGAGCAAACAGCAAAAACCTCCAAACTCACACAAACCCAAGCCTCAACCCAGCGAGCGGAACACCGCCCCAGAAGTAGTACCCTAAACCCTAAGCCCCAAGAAACCCCGCGGCCAGGTGGCGGAAGGCCACCTTTGTGGAGGTCAGGCATGCGATGAGCACGACCAAGGCGGCCGATAGGCCCTCAGTGAAAGGTGGCCCACTTGGAGGTGGATTGGGGACAACTTTAGGGTTTAGGGTTTAGGGTTTCGGGTTTAGGGTTTAGGGTTGGGATGTTCCCCCCTGAAGCTAACAGTCCTTGATAGGGGTTAGGAGAGGGCGTACTATCATCCCTAGTAAGGACTGCAAGTCTAAGGGGAACATCCAATTTTAGGGTAACTAGGGTGCGTAAAAGCACAAGTTGGCTTCATCGCTCTGTCTCGAGTGGGTTGGGGTTTGGGGTCAGATAGGCAAGGTCATTATGATTATACACAATTTGCTGTAACCATAGCATGTTATGACCTCACGTAGACCCCGCAAGGGCTATGAACCTCCGAGTAGTGTGTAGGAGTGGAGCCTCCTTTCTTGCCACCCGCCAAGCAGACCAGCCACAGTGTAATTAGGGTAACGCTTGGGGAAGATCTTCCGCGATGGGCTGTACAAGCACATGCAGCGGTGGCCAGAACGGGCTTGAGCGAATTGAGTCTCATAAGCTGCGGTAGTGGTCATCGGATTGTGCGGCCGAGGGGAAGCGAGAAGGATAGACTTGATCCCGACCTCGATTTTGTACTCGGAAACACATTCCAAAAGCGAAGCGTCTCGTCTCCTGCACCAGTGACCACGGTCTGACCGTCAGGCGAGATGGCGAGATACAGGACCCTGTATGTGTGGCCTGTGAGGGTCGCGACCTTGGTCATGGAAGGATACTTCCACAAGATGATCTGGTTCAGGGAGTAGCCGTGCGTGCTCACGATCTCGTTGAGATTCTTGGACCAAACGAGGTTGCAAACCTGGGAGCCGGTGTCGATGCAGGACAGGGGCATGTTGTTCACTGTGTTCCAGAAACGGATGCACCTGTCTGCCGTGCCACCCCCTGAAGCCAGCAGCCCATGCTGGTGTGGGGACCAAGCAATGGCTTTGACGGCTGCCTGATGGCGGTTGAACTTCAGAACCGGCTCCGTGGATTTCAGAGACCAAACCTAGGATGGCTTAAAACGCTTTGAAAAACACACCTGAATAGGATCCTCTTTTGCCAAATAAGGGAAAATAGAAAATGTCACAAGGGCCGAACTAGAAACACACAGCTTGTTGTCATTCCCGCCCGATGCCAGCTGCTGCTCGTCGAAGGACCACTTCAGGCCACAGACCTCCTGTTATAGGGTTTAGGGTTAGGGTTTAGAGTTTAGGGATAGGGTTCTTAAGGGAGGGGGTTCAAGGGGGGCATGTTTCTCAAGGTTCCCTAATACTCCCCACTCTCAAGGCTCCCTAAGTTTCTCTAAGCTTCCCTTTCAGGTTTTCTAGGTACCTACCCCCTTGAACCCCCCCTCCCTAAACCCTTTTTGCAACGAGGGCTCTCTCACTCCCTAAACCCTAAACCCTAAACCCTAAACCCTAAACCCTAAACCCTAAACCCTATTCTCCTGCCGATGGCCGTGAAGCTTTGACATGAAGGGCGCTGGCTGCCGGACATCCCTGTGAAGGATGTGGTGATCTCCTCGGATGAGCCCCCTTAGAAACCCTCTGAAAATAAGATTGCTCAATTTCAATATGATAGTCCTCTTAAGTTAAACCCAATACGGTGAAACATTCTTCAATATAGTCCTCTGAAACCCACAAAAGTCAAATGAAAAATGAAGAAGAAATGTCCCAAAGTGAGGGCCTGCGCCGAGTCTCTGCTCCCGGTGGACAAGACGAAGCCGTTCCAGGCCATGGTGCCGACCCTTCCCAAATGCCCGCTCATGGTCCGCATCTTGCGGCACTGCGTGGAGTCCCATATTTGGACCTCACCTCGGATGGCCCCTATGAAAAACCCGATAAGACGAATATATTCCTCAATAAGAGTCCTCTTTAAACCCCAAAATAAGGGGAAGATTTTAAACACGTCCCTGAAAAACCTGCCGAGCCACCTTTGTTGGTTCCAACCGCCAAGTGCGCGCCTCTGTGGGTCTGCTTGATAAAACACATCTGGGTTTAGGGTTTAGGGTTTAGGGTTTAGGGTTTTAGGGCTTAGGGTTTTAGGGTTTAGGGTGCGCGCCTCTTTGGGTCCACGCAACCGAGGTCACGGTGTCGTCGGGCCCCAGGTCACAGAGCTTGGTCACCCGACTCGTGCCTTACTTCCCCAAGAACGGTTTAGGGTTTAGCGTTCAGGGTTTAGGGTTTAGGGTTCAGGGTTCAGGGTGGTTGAACGTTATTGTTCCTACTAAATAAGGAAACCCCAAAAGTTGAAAGTTCAACTATTGGCTAAGTAAGGTGCATGCGCTCCAGAGGTAGACGCAGTTGCTCAGGCCCACAGAGAGCACGTTGGCAGAAGACCAGTCCACGAGGTTTAGGTAGAAGTCGTCCTGAAGCTGCGGGGCGTCTAACCTTAGTTGCTGAGTTCATAAGACAAAGAAAAGTTCACACTTTCAGTTTTAGAGGGGATGATAGTACCCCCAAAAAGTGCAAAGTGTGCTCACTTCAGCTACTAAGTAACACCTTGAAGGGCACCTTGGCAATCTTTCTGGGCGCCTTCCGAGGAGTACTCAGCAAGCGGCTGCTCTGAAATGAAACCGGCGACAGGGAGAAGGCATCCTCCGGGCTGGCCTGTGCGCAGCTCCTGTACTTGAAGAGGCTCTTGCTGTCCGGAGACCTGAAGGGCTTCTCTTCCTTCTCAGAGCCCGCGTGAATTCCCAAGAGCTCACTTCGGAGAAGCTGTGCGTAGACAGAGTTGCCCTCGTCACGGGGCTCGGGAGGTCTCGAGCTTTCTGACAGGAGCGTGAGCCCAGATTCCAGGTCGGAAGCCGCCCTGCTCGGGATGAAGCGGTCGCTACATTGCGCTCCCTCGTGCCAATGTTGTGACCCCTGCCCCTGCTCGGAATTTTCCGATGCCCAGGCTTCCCGCACCGGCGATCGCGGCCCGTAGTCATAGGCTTTGCATGAGGCTGCTTCATCCATTTGACGCACTAGGAGTAGAAGCAACTCAATGTGCCTTTGCAGCTTCCAATCTGCACCTTGCCTTTGTGGGGCTCAATGGAGTTTCTTCTGGCTGCTAGGTTAGCCTTGCGAAACAAATGCTGTGTCTTCAAGCCGTTCATGAAGCTCTTAGGCTCTCACATGCTCCTTGGGCCAACATGCGCATGTTTCCACTTCCGGGCTCAAAGGCTTCAAGGGGAAGTCGAGTACATGCTGGGGTTGCCATATACTTTCAAGATGGACCTGATTCTGAAGAGCCCGTTGTGTGGGAGGGCTCGAGAACATGGACGCACTAAAGACTTCTCCAAGGGCTCAGAAGCGAAATGGTGGTCGGCCGAGGGTCGAAGCAAACAAGCCGCCGGAACACGACCTCATGGCAGGCTAGCAACTGCCCAAGCGCGTTCGTCCAAAGTGCTGCTGCCCTCTCAGAACTCATAAGCTTCAAACACACACCTGTGTATGCAGTGAGTCGACTTTCCCAAGTGGTGGTGACTCGGCGTATCGGGGTCGAGGTGAGGGGTTTCTGCTGTCTCGGTCTAGACGAAGTGTCGAGTCAGCAGCATGTAGGTTTTTTTCCCTATCGCACAGCTGGGGAGAATCCACTTTTAGGGTTGAGGGTTTGGAGGGTTTAGGGTGACCCCATTCTCGACGTGACAATGCTTGCGGCTGTCTTTCGCAGTTCCAGCGGCCCAGGCGGACCGCGCGTCGCGCTGCCATTGCCGCATCAATGGCGCCTCCCACGATAGGGCCGTTCAGGGCGCGAGAGCGCGAGGACTGCTTTAAAGGCTTTACATGCGTCCGTTCTAAAATCTTCCGAGCAAGGACTGCTGTGCGAACTCTTGCTGTTTAGGGTGCATAGGGTTTTGTTAGACTAAGGTTTTTGGAGGAGCTTTGCATGGCAAGCTCCCTCAGGCTCCATGGCAGTGGTTCGGTGGGCAGACTGTTTTGGGGGGCCCTGACAACGGGCTTCATATGCCCCAATCTAGGTGCAAAACGCCAGAGTCAGGCAAGAGTCCGTTTTTGCCATTGGGGAGTGCCTGTCTGATGAACTTGTTCATGGTTGGGATAGTATTAACAATTCAAACTTCTATTTCTTATTGTGTTTAAGTACCCTGAAAAATGTAAAATGTTACCCCACTATGAGTCAGTAAATGCTCACATGAAGTCATCAACCCCCGCCCTACACTACTACGTATTCGGGATTCTGGCGTGAGCTTATAAAACAACATCTGCCTAACTGTCGTGAACCCTTCCAGGCCAGCAACTCTACCCAGACCCATGCTGGGACCTCCGTTAGACAGCCATGTCATGTTCCGAAACGGGTGTGTGCAATGAAGCCTCGGCGTCCTCGAAGGGGCGGCAGCTGAAGTTGGACACCTGAGCAGCCGCTTAGGGGAACTGAAAACGGCCCGGGGCAGGGGCCGCCTCTTTTCGAATGCTTCGAAGCCGAGGCGCGCAGGTCTCCACGCAGGTCCCTGAGCAGCCCGGCGCCAGCTGGTACAGGTCCAGGTGGCTGGCCTGAGGGTTCAAAGCAATTCAGGGTGTGGGGTTTAGGGTCTTTGTAGGGTTTTGGATCGGATTTCAACTATCCAGGTCGAACTCCTGCTGGGCATACACTTCCGGTGAATTCTCCAGCTTTCCATGATATGATGGGGCCTTGGGCTTAGCACTGCGGTCTCTGGGGCCAAAAGGGTTTACGGAAGAAGGTTGACGTAGGTGTAAAGCTTGTGTGCCTTCGTGGGTTTCGGAGCTGCTATCTCTGCCTTTGCTCGCGTTCCGACATTCAGAAAGAAGCTCATCGTCTCGCTGCGACACCGGACACATCGAAGCGCGTGCTGGTGTTGGACTTTAATCTTGGACATTTGGGGCGCCAAGAGAAGCACCACGCACACGCACACACTCACACTCGCACACCCTAAGTAGACTCTAGCGGCTAGTAACCACGGCCACGCGCCCCAAGATTGACTTTTTATCACCTACGAAATACGAATCTGAATGCTGCACCGAACTGGCTCTCAAGGTACTCTGCGCCAGAGGTCCCTGAGGTGCTGGCGGCAAACTGCGCCGCCCTGGCGCCCAGCTCGTTGGGGGACACCAGGAGGTCGCCACGGAGCGTGCAGGACCAGACGTCCCTCAGGCAAGGTGAGGGCTCCAGGCCAGGGGGGCTTCAATGATGTTGGGGGTCCTTCAGAAGGACCTTACTCCGATGTTTCTTGCAGTTGGGACTCCTGGGATTTCAGGAATCCAGAGGGCTCATAGAGCTGCAAAGTGAGTTTTTGTAGGCCCTGCTGGCTCAAGGGGGCCCCATGCACGGCCAGGCCACTGAAAGTAGTGGTCTCGAACATCCGCCGCGTCCTTGATGCCGTGGTGCATCACCTGGCACCAAGACTTCTAAACTGTATGGGGGGTTTCCAAAAACAGGGGGTACCTGTTTTGGAGGTCCCTCTAAGGGGATTCTATTCTATTTGGGGTATAAAGGGGTACCCTATTTTGGGAAAATAACAAAAAAAGGCGCCACAGGGATGCTTGCTGGGGCAAACACGAGCACTCCTTAATAGGGATTATACCACCCCTATTCTAGTCCCTATTATGGACTGCTGGTATAACAACATGAAACCTTCAAGTACTCAACTGGGGGTCCCTTGCAGTAAGGACCCCAATAAGGTACCCTGAATTTCGGAAACCCCAAACCCCCAAAAGTAGCTTGAGCTCTCGCAACTCACGGCGGCCCCACCGGGCCCACGAGTTCGCTGGCGCGGTGGTCGAGGTACACGCCGTCGTCCACCAGGAACTGCATCCTGGGATCACCGGCTGGTTCTTAGTAGGGAATGAGGGAATGAGGTGCCCTATAGAATCCCTTAAAGGGTATAGGGCCCTAATTCCCTCATTCCCTACTAAGAACCAGCGGGATCATTGGGTTGATTACAGTTTAGAAGTAGTTACCCTGAATTAGTAGAAGCCATAAAACTGTAGGTAAAGAGGGTCCCAAGTAGGGCTTAGGGGCGGCGCCAACCCTCCGGAATGTTTACTGGTCCTGGCCTCGAGCCTTGGATCTGTGTCAGTGGAGATGCGCGTCCTGGGACCCTGTGGGAGGGAAATCATTGATGCAACTCCGTGGAGGCAACCGAATGCCGCATTTGGCTCAGCATCCTTGTGTCGGATGCTTGGTGTTGACTATAGTTCATGACGACGACTTCCCTCATTTTGGAGGGACTTGTCATTGCAGGCAGGACTTTGGGTTACATCCTTCTTGAGCAATTTTGGCTTAGCTTTGCTTTCCACCACATCAGTCGCCCGAAGCCCCTAACAAGTCAACAAAATCTAAACACGGTTCAAAAGTCCCCCGACCTTCGCCCAAAAAACCTCACCGTAGCACCGAAACCCCGGAAGCATTCGTGCCCTCTTCGCTTTGCCTCAGCCCTGCACTGCAAAGTCTAAGGTCCCGAAGGGTGGCCCTCTTAAAGGCGGAACTCCCAGAACCAAAGTGCATATGGTCTCGACTCTCACACTCGCACAAGGTCAGGGTTCAGGGGTCTTATAGAGTGTAGGGTTCAGGGCTTTAGGTTCCTAGGGCTCATCTTGGACAGGGAGCCTGGGCCAAACGGTCAGCGTGCCTTCGGAGGTGTGGGACAATGTGGCAGTAGCAGGGAAGGGGGCCCTAGAACCTTTGAGACTGTAGCAGCTTCATGATGTCGGTTTCATTCATCTTGCTGGGCCCACAAACTAAAGAACCGTCATGTGGAGCTTGGAGCCCCTCTCCCTGGAACGGAAGCCAGAAAATGCCCTCACCCATTCATGGGGGGGGGGGGGTTGCAGACTTCAGGAACTCTGGCTCATTATGGAGGCTTCATGGGCTTTTTCGGGTGGAGACGTCTCCATGTGATGGGGCTTGCAAACTTCGGTTGCATAACAGCTCTGCCACTCAGCTGCAGGACGTGGACCACAATCCACGGCAATGCCTGAAGCTTCCAGCGCGTGGGTCTAGGGCATTGGGAGGCTTAACCGGTTTTGATAAAGTCAGAATACGAAAATTCCTGGCAGGCGCGCCCTGACACTTTGGAAATGTCCTTGAATCTCTCGATCTAGTTGTCACCACGCCTCCGCCCGAAGTTCGTGGAGTCCAGTCTCCAGGCACGGGGAGGACCGAGCACCTCGTGAGGAATCAGGAAGCGAGGCGGGCGAACGAGCCGTGCGAGGCGCTCCCTCGTTGCCCTTTCCTCCTGCAACATACATGTCCTGCCTCGAGCATGCCTGAAGGACCCCAAATGCAACATACATGTCCTGTCTGAAGAACCCCAAAACCTACTTGTTTGTAGGCTCTGACTCCAAAACCCTTAAAAGGATTCTTAGGTGACCTACATATAAAGGCAAGGTTTTACACCCCTCCTGCGATTCTTAGAACAACCTATGCCTAAACTAAGAGTGGGGTTTTGGGTCTTTGAAGGCTGGATGTCATCTGCCCCACCTGCCTTCTTGGCGGTGCGCACGAACCTCCAGTAGGGCTCCAAGTTGTCCACACTGGCCTCTTAGTCTTTTTTGTTTCGGGCTTTTGGGGTTGAATTGTAAGGTTGTATGGGTTTTATAGGGTCAAATTGCTTTAGAGAGTTTTCATACGGCTTCATAGGGTTTAGGGCTCAGTTTTTCGGAGTCCGCATGCCGAACTTGCAAACGCCTCCAAACAGCTGTTGTTTTTTTGGCTGACCCTTTGATGCTCGAAGCAACTAACCCACGCATGCCCCGGCCGATGCACTTGGTCAAAGCCGGGAGGCTGTAAGGTTGCCATACAGCTCGTTGACCTGGCAGGGAGTGACGAAAGCGAGGTTGCGAGCCTCTTGGATTTCGAGCTTGGAGCGCGGTACATGAACCCTAAATCCCATATTAGGCCAGCCCGAGCCAGCCTCCCTACCCCCGCACCCCTCAAAAAATAGGGTCAGAATCCCCTTGATGCCACAATGTACCAGAACCGGATGCCCACATATTAT